TGATCTCTGAAGACTACCTTTGAGCCCTTACTCAGTTGTTCTCTTCTAGGTGCTACACTTGTTAAGATGCCCTGGAGGTGTTCAAGGAATGTTTGGATTTTGTGTTGAGGGACATGGTTTAGTGAGTACTATTGGTGATAGGTGGATTGTTGGACTGGATGATCTTGAAGATTTTTTCCAACCTTGGTGACTCTGTGATTCTGTGAAGATTGTAGGTATTTTCTCGTATGTTTTGTACTCATGCTGAGGTCGTCCAGGCCTTATGCAACTATTAACAAACCAGGAATCATTGAAAGGGATGCTCACAGAATGTTAGGATTGTTTCAGTTTCATCTCAAAAACTTTTGCCACTTCCTTCTTCTCTGCTGATTTAGGTGATTTTACCTTTCAGTTGGTTTTGTACAAAATATTTGTATATAAAAAAATCTAAATGCAGCTGGAATCTAAGTGCAGCTGGAATCTCATGAACCTCCAGTGCTTTGGCAAGTGAACTGCATGTAATGGACCCCACACAGCTTCCCATGCGTAAGGAAGGGTTGCTGATGAACTAAGGATTATATTTGAGCCTGTGCCAAAGTTTTTGTGAGAAGATTTGTTTTTAACATTGCTAATGATTTGGAAAACAAAATGGACTTTGTGGGACAATCTCCAAAATACTTATGGTAATTAGGACATGTGGAGAAGAAGTCTTTAACAGGCCCACAAAACCATCTGTCCTTGCACAGGAGAGGAAGTAGTTAAGACCTTTCAGAGCATGCTTTGTCAGTTGCTAAACCATTAAAATTACTGTGCCAGACATAACGATGGTGAAAATGGAAGCGAATGGAAACAAACATCAGAAACGCACTCACTTAAACTATTCCAAAGTAATCCTAAAGGTGTCAAAGTTATTTAGAATTATGCCTGTAACTGACAGAGCTGAAATAATTCATCACATTTTTATAAACAATGGTTGGAGACTCACAAAGTTACTACTCTTATTGCTGGAACATACATCTGATACAGCAGTTTAAGTAAAAATGCTGTTTGGGGCCTTTTTCTAAATCCTATTATTCCTAGCAATACAGTGAACTCCCAGTATTAAGATACTAATCATACAATAATGTCATAGCAATTTTATTTTGGCATTCAATAATCCTCAGTTCCAAATTCATTGTTAACACTGCTAAAACAAAGCCAAGAAAAATTTGTTCTGAGATACTTAACATAACAGTCAAAAATGTTAGTTCTAGTAATCCGAAATATTCTTCCATATTATCTTTAAAATATTTGAGATTGAAATGTGTACATACTTCATAAAATTATGTGAAGTGCACAATGAAGGCTTTAGCATTAGTGATAAAAAGATACTACTAACAAGATTTCATGTCTTTCAGATAAGCAGCCTTGGTATTCTAGAAATAACTGACATTCCTCATCACCAGCCAATTCAGGAAATTAATTCAAAAAGGATATTTCAAAAAAGATTTGCTTCAAACTTTTTTGAATAGTTTGAAGAGGAGGTACGTGATTTTCCACTGCTTTATGTAGGTCATTTAAGCTACTCCAGAGTGTCTATATATAATCAAAATAAAACTATTTTATATCAACTTTTAAAATATATTCTCATTCTTGTTGCATCTGTACATTTGTGAAGGATGTGGCCCACATGTCAAAACAGTAAAGCGTCATTCACTTCTCATTCTGCCATGAGCAAACCATGCAGCAGAAACGAATGGTTCTATAGGCATGCAATTGCCCCTGTTTGTCCTTCTCCCTCCTCTGCAGTCAGCTGATGGAAGTAGCTATTGGTGTGCACTAAGCTGAAATTCTCTCGTGGTGCTTTAACACATCTGCCAACATGTGCTGGACAAGTGTGGCTTTTTTTTTTTTTTTTGCTGCAATGCCTGGACTATGCAATATCAACTAGTAAAAAGTACAATGGGCATATTTACGGTATATTAAATATTTTTAGCTATATTTATATTACACTGGAACAATTTTGATTTCCATCAATCTAGCCTCAGCTTCCAAAATGGCAGATATTTATCACCAATTGTTGAAGTTAAGTAGTTTAACTAGATTTAAAGCAAGTAAAGACTGAAGTGTTACAAAAACTGTTTTTCTGAATATAGAGCCCGTTGGCCAAGCAGATAAATGTCGAAGTAGAAAAAGAGCCAGAAATAAAGGAGCGAAATCACTGAAACTTGAGATCATGAGGAGCAAAGGCCTTTAGCTGCCATGATGAAATTCTTGTAGATATGCCAGTGTGTTCAGAGAATTTGTCTTTCTCAGTATTGTGCAATTCATAAAATCACAGAAAAGTTCAGATTGGAGGGGGCAGCTGAAGGTCCTCCAGTTCAAAATAAGCCTAACCCTGAAGTGAGACAATGTCACTCTGGCCTTTGTCTCAAGTGTTGGAAAATCTCCAGGGATGGAAATTCATTGACATCTATGTAGTCTGCTTCAGCACTCACCATTCTTCTGGTGGAAAATGTTGTCCTTAGGGCCAGATGGATGTTTTCCAGGTGCAACTTGCTTCTCCTTCCTGTTGTCATTCTATGTCCTATCTCTGAGAATATCCTGGCTCTTCTTTGTGGAAAACTGTCCACAGAGTCAGAACACAGTGGGGGACAGTGTTTCCCTTGGAACCTGGGGGGCTCTCCATGTGAGCTGACGTGAGAGAATCTGACCAGTGAAGGCCCACCCTATCATCCACAGTGAAAAACCAGGACAGTCTGGGGGCAACTCGGGACAGTTCCTTGGCCAGGTCTGCTGCGGTCAGGCACAGTGTGGGGACCCAGGGTCAGGTAAAGCTCATGATTACTGAGTGATGTAGTGACGAGAGCAGGCTGAGGGCATACTGAGATCATCATGCTGCTTAGTCTCACCCTGCCACGTGTTAGATCAGCAGGGCCCATGGCCAGGCACAGATGTAGGGACTGATGGTGTTAGGGAACTTGATGTGGTGTCTGGGGCTGTGGGCTGGGTGGGGAGAGCCCTGAAGAAATGGAGAGGGACACCCCTCAGGCACTTCAGGCATATCAAAACTGCCATTAGATTCCTCACTCAGCTTGAAGTGTGCATTACTTACTTCAAAGTAAAATAAAACAAAATTTAGAAAACAACAGCAAAAATCCAAGTTTGTCTTACAACACATTTGTATTACCAAAAATTATTCAATTTAAAATTAAACAACAATATTGCACTGCTTATGCTATTTAGTTTTTTTCTCCTTCAGCTTAGCTAATTAAAAATACACTTCCCAATGACCAAAAAGTGAATTTCCCTTTCAAACTACCAAGTACAGTTCTGGCTTGCTACTGCTTGTTGTAAAATGTTTACATAATAGAAATGTTACAAATGTTTCAGTTCTATTTTTAAATCATTAAACAATTCCCATTTTAAAGCTAACCTTGTGTTTCTGCCAAATTTGACATGATATTGCCAACTCATTCAGACTGTACCCCTGCAGGAAAGGACATGGGGTTACATCGGGCCACAAACCAAACATGAGTTGATGGTGTTGCGCTATTGCAAAAAAAAGCAAACATTTTACTGAGAAGAATAAACAGAATCACCACTGGTAAAACAAGTGAAGTAAATCTCTCTAGTTGGTTTAGGTGAGGTTTTGGCTGACGTAATGTGGCCTATAATCAGCCTGCAACAGCATTTCAGGAGTGTGGTTAGGATGGTAAGGCAGAAAATGTGACCTGGGAGGAACATGGGAGGCTTGAGGGTCTGGGTAAGAGACATGATGGAATTCAAGGAAAAATCTTCTAAAATATCTCTTTTCTTTAAAGGGGAATAAACTTTTCTACATCAGTTGGTAACAGACCAACTAAAGATCTTGATTTGGGCAAGTTGGATATGAAGTACAAGTCCTAAAAAAAAATAAAATTAAATTAAAAAAAAAGGGGGGGGGAGAAGGGGGCATTTAATGCAATGCTTTCATCAGGATGTAGGATTTCCCCTCTCTTCTTCTAAGCTGGTAGCACTGGAAGCTGACTTTTTTCCAGAGCGGTACCACAGGAGACCCCAGAGTCTGCTGTAGTTCAAGCGATGGTTTGACAAGTTCCAAATCCTTTGACCAGTTGCAGCCCAATACAAGATCTCATTAATAACCACTTCAGCAACTGGGAAATCTTTTCTTTCCCGTATGATCTCCTCACTGTTGGATCGCCAAGGCAGATTGTAAGATCTCATTTTTTGTAGCTATCTAACAGCAGGTTGAGACATGAAGGCAAATGAAATGACATCCAATGCTCTTTCTAGTCACTTCTTCTAGGACTATTTCTTGTAGAGAACTTTCCATATATCCATAATACAACTGGGGAGATTTGGCAGACAAAGACACATTAAACAATTGAATAGAGGGAAGCAGGAGGAGACAGTGGACAGTCTTCAAGAACAGCTACTTCAGAAAAATCTTCAGCAGGAATTTTAGCACTGTGCTATATGAACCACTTGGGAAGAAGAATGAGGTGCCTACCAGAAAAGCAACAAAGCCACTGTCAGAAATACCTTCATAATGTATAACCCTTACTGATTTATTTGAATGAGGGTTAAGTCTTTAAAAATATCATTGTTGTACAGTATTAGTATTAGTGTATTAGTGGTTGAACATGATGAACAGAAACAATATCAGAGAGAATAATAGATAACAGAAATAATTGCACCAGGGGAGGTTTAGGTTGGACATAAGGAAGAACTTCTCTCAGAGAGTGGTCAGGCACTGGAACGGCTGCCCAGGGAGGTGGTGGAGTTGCTGTTCCTGGCAGTGTTCAAGAGGAGTCTGGATGAGGAGCTGCGAGATATGGTTTAGTGCTTGTGGTAGCAATGGTAATGGGAGCACGGTTGGACTAGATGATCTTGCAGGTTGTTTCCAACATTGTGATTCTATGAACACAGGAAGAAATTCATACAGTAAATACGGCTGTAAACTGTTTCTGAAGTCTGGCTATGTAAGGGATAATAGGGCCACATTGACTTTCACCTGAATTAGCTGTTACATTACATACCTTTAATAGTAAGAACAAGGTGAGTCAGGACATGTTCTTAGCAGGGGTCAGATGTCATAGCTGTTACAGTGATTCCTGATGTAAACTAGAGAATTTTTTAAATTATTTTTTATTTATTCATTTTTTTAAATAGACCACATTGCAACACTGTGATAACAATTACATCAGTGCACCTTTCTCTCTCTGGGACAAAAGTATCACCTTTGTTACCATTCTGTCTGAATGGTTTCAACCTACCTGCAAAGAACTGGGGAAAAAAAAAATAAATCCATTTTGCTTTTCATTTTTATCATGACCAAAGGAGGCTTGCAGTGTGAGCCTGATGTTCCTGATATGCCTATTTAAGGTAAAATTCAGGACTTGGGCAGGAATTGAGCTATCCAGACAAGCCTCAGGAAGGCTGGATTGCTAGTCACAGAGGCTTCAAGTCTGAAATTTGTTCACTAATACCACTCTTCACATTGCTTCCTGAGGCAGTGGAGGCTGGGAGAAGTTTATTTACTGAGCTTGCTGCTGACTAGCTAATCAAGTTTCAAGAAGCATAACCTGGAATGCTTCCAATTTCCCTTTGTTAATTAACCCCAAGTGAACTTTTAGGAGCTACTTAACAGGAAATTTGGAGAAGGTCAGGTTTTGGGAGAGCCTCTTTAATAGCAGATGAGGTAGCAGGATGGATACAAGGCCTACAGAATGAATGCAAGGAGGTAAGTTTAAAATAGTTTCAACGTTCTTATGTTTGTTGCTGCTTGACATTGCAACATCAGTGTAACAGCAAAAGCCTCAATCGCTGAGTAGTTTTCTGTCATTAATTTAAAGCTGTGTATTTCCTCTAGCGCGGCCACAGGATCCATATAAAGATTATTTCTCTTTACATCAACGAATCAGGAAAAACACTGCCACAATACCATAGCACACAGTTTTAGGACACGCGGCAAACAAATCCAACAGACGGGGCACAAACTGGCCCAACACCTGCCTTGCTCTGCTCTCCTGTGCTCTCCATCTCTACCACCCATAGCCCTGCTGCTCCTCCCCTCCCTGAAGCTGATAGCAGCTCACGCTGAGCACTGCACCGAGCTGTGCAGCCGATCCCCTCCAGAGAAGGGTAGATTTCACCGGTGTTTAATAATAACATAATGAAAGCGAAACTCGGTTCCTGTGAGGGTGGGCAGACCCGGCTCCGCGCACAGCTGAGGCCGGAGGAGCGCTCCCAGCTCAGGGCCCACCTGGGCGCGGGTCCGCCGGGCAGCACCGCGCGCAGCACCTGCAGGCATCGAGCAGCGTGGCTGTGGGGGCATCGCCGCGTCATCTTCCGCACAAAAATGAGCGTGAGGAGGCAGGAGCGCTGTCGCAATTCCTCCCTAGCAGGGATTAGGGAGCAGGCTGTTGCCGGCAGCGCTCGGCGTTAGACGCAGCGAGGCGGGGAGCGGCCTCGGCACCGAGGCCTTCCCCTCCCCAGAGGGGGCTGGCTGACCGCCCCGACCGGGGTGCGCCGGTGGGTGACTCAGCGCGGCGCCCAGTGACCCCCGCCTGGCGGCGGCGCCTCGTCGCGGCTCTGCCCCCTCCTTCGCTCCCTCCCCCACTCTCTCTCTCTCTCTCTCTTTCCCCGCAGGATCATCCCACCCCGACGGGCGGTCACCTCAGCAGGAGGAGTCGCCGCCGTTTCGCCTTCTCTCCCGCAAGACCTGACGGCAGTACGCCTCGCCGCGCCGAGCCCGTCGCCATGCAAGCAGGGAAGGCAGCCGGGAGCCGGGAGGGTGGAAGGCCCCTACAGCTCACCATGAAGAGGGGCTACGAGGTGCTCCGCGACCCGCACCTTAACAAGGTAGGGGCGGGTGCCAGCCCTCTGCCCTCCGCCGCCTGTCTGCGTGCCGTGCCGGGCGCTTCCCCTCCTATGGAGCCTGCAGCTGGGCTCTGCCGCTCCCTGGGCTCACCCTTCCTCTCTTCGTATTGCTCGACGAGGATGCCGGTGGGCTTTCATGTGCGGGTTTGCTACTTCGCTGCCAGCTGCAGTGCTTCCCGGCCCCCCATCCACAGCGCCTTGCTCTGCTTCCTGGGGCAGTGTGTGCTGCCTCCGCGGGTACCGGAGAGCTTTTGTCACGGTGTTTCTGCTGCCAAGTCCAATGCCAGTTCCCCCTGACCTGCATCAGAGGATGCACTCTGCGTTTGGGAGATGCTGTAGCACAGGGAAACGTTTATGGCATCTCTGCACTTAAGGCAAGCTCAGCTTGATAAAGTTTGTAAATGTGTGACTTGGACTAGGTGAGAAGGTGAGTATGCATTTGTACAGTGCTCATACAGCTGTGGTGTTCAGATAACAAATACTTGGTTGGTTTGCTGGACCTTGGATTTGTTGCTAAAAATGAAATATGAGAAGGGTGAAAGGTAGGCAATCAGCCTCGTGTAAAACATGAGACCTTGGTTAAGCCATAGCCACAGCTTTGTCCTTGTGTGTCAGCTTTACTTCTTGGCTTCTGTTTGTGCTCTGATTGGTACCTCTGCTTTAAGATGTATATACAGTCATTTTGCTTACTGCCAAGTTGTATGAATTGGCAAAAACTGTGTCTTCAGCCTTACCGGAGAGGTTGACTCATCAGTAAAAGCTCCATGTATTAGTTGGATGAATGGTGCTTCTGTTAGTGCGGGTGCTTGGATACACAATTTCCTCAGTGGGTGTGTGATGTCTGTTGAGGTCAGGTAAAATGGGAATTAACCAAAAGGTGAAAATCCCAGGAAGAATTGACGAGGGGTTGCTTCACTTGGGATTGCTTTTAGCAATTGTAGTGTTCGTGGAAAAGTCTGATTCAGAATAATCAATGGCGACTGATTGCTACCTTTTTCACCTCAAACATCTTTCCCTTGAACTGCATAGCTGCAGATGAGATGCTGAAGGTGAAAGCTTGTGGTTAATTTCTCGGCTTAGACTTTACTCTTCCACCCCTCTTAGCTGTGTTATGGCACGCATGCTGCATAACAGAAAAGCCAGGAGATGTATTCTTCCAGCTCACAGAGCATTCTGAAATATGTAGGAAAGGTTGGCTTACATCTCCATTTTTGCCTGTGGGGAAAGTCAGGTCCATGGCCAGGAGGGGACAAGCAAGCTGATTTTGAGATAGGTGATCTTTGGTGGGTATGGATGCATCATATCTTACAAGATACGGAAGGGCAATGATTTAAAACAACAACTGAGAGCTTAGCATGGTTACCTTTCTAATGGTTTGTGATAGCCTGCATGCATAGGAGCTGGTACTCCATGTTTGCTTTCGCGTGCCAAGGCTGTTAAACAAACATCAGGTTGTACAGAAGTCAATCTGAAGCTGACAAAATATCTCCTTTAATGATTCTAAAGTACAGGACTTGTTTTCGGTTCTGAAGAAGTGCCAGAACTTCTTGCTATCTTATGGGCTCTGCTTAAGGGCTACAATTGCTTGGTATCAGCACTTTCTTTTCAGTACTTTTGCATACACTTGGCAAAAGTAAGCAGTGAGCACCAAGCAGTGGTATCTATCTGTGACCTAGAAAAGCAGTAGAAAAGTAAGACAAGATGTGTGTTCGTTACTACTTGAATCTTGTCTGATGTTCCTTGTCTCTCTTCTCTAAGTAAAACTCAGTTCTTGCAACTTACATTGCAAACTTCAGCAAGTCAAAGCTGAACACTGAAGAGTTGTTTTAAGGGACTCTTAGCCACAACCATTGGCCTGGCAAGCAGGTAAAGCTCAAATATGCATGCTATGTGCAGAAACATACAGCTTGAGTCCTCAAAGAGTTTCTCCATTTTATCGGAGAGATTTAAAGAAAAAATTTATGAAGAATCATTTATACTTGGACTTCTTTAAAAATAGAGGTAAGAGGAAATAAGGAGCATGAGTTGGGATACCTAACAGCACCTAGTGCTCTGCTCATCCAATAATGAAACGGATTTTGGCACAATCAGTGCATTTATGGAATTTTATATTTAATCTAAATGGCTGGGATAGGTGAGAAGGAGGGCTATAGGAAGGTCAGGGCAAATATCCAAATTTCTTCTTTCCCCTCCTGTTCTACTTTGACAAAATTACCAGACACAGAAGAGCACACATGACACTGAAATAAATCCTTCACGATTCAGTTTTGAAATCACGTATTTTTCACACTATAAAATTCACACACCTACTAACTTAGTGGGGTATGGCTGGATTATTGGTATTATTATTTGATTTTCTTCCATTTGGAGTGTTTTGCCTAGATAAGAAGCCATTACTTCTTTGTTTTTGATGCATCAGAAATCATGTGGGACAGCAGATCTTAGCACACTGAGTGAATTACATGAGGATGAGCAATTGTGTAAGGACACAAGTTTAAGCCCATGAACGATAGTCATGGTTCAGTTTATAATGTTTTTAAACTCTATAGTTCTACAGCGCCTTTAGAAACTTCTTGCAACTTTTTTTCTTGTGCAACTAAATACTGTGAGTAGGAATTACAAGGAAAGCAAAAAGAGTTTTACTTCTTTTCATTGAAAAGAAATGCATTAGGAACTTTTGGCAGCAAGCTATATGCTCCTTAAGCTGATGAGTTACAGCAGTATGACAACAATTGGCTCTTTCCTCCTGTAAATCTTTCATTTATGCTTTACTCAGTATGAGGGCTATTTTTAAGCACATAAATCATAAAGACAACTTATGCTAAACGTTTATCTCACATTTAGTTTTTTACCATTAAATATTGTTTAAACAAGTCAGAGTTTCCCTTAACCTGCATATTTTCAGAATCTTGATATGAAGATACGCAAACATATATTTTAATTGCAAACTTTTCAAATAGTATTTGTTGGTTGCCAAGTCTAAATGCTTGCCTGATTGGGAAACTGGGCCATTCAGGGACTGCTTTTATATTTCAGCAAAGCAATTCAGTGAGCAGAAAAGAAGTGGTTCTGTTAAATCTAAGTGCTGGATGGCTCTTTCTCTTCACCAGATGCTTCATTTTAACTACTCTCCTTTGACTGACCACTGTCATTGCTAATTGTGGCATGCTTGTAAAATGCTAAAATGCTGAACCCTTTCCTTTTTTCCCTTTATTCAATTTCTACTAAACTGGAGGATTTCAGAACAGATCATTTGATGGGTCTGCTGAACACCTGAGAGTCCCAGATCTCAGTCCCACCTGCAATGGTAGTGATGTTTTATGCTTAGCACCTCCTGTAAGTGAGGCACTTGGATCCCAAAGGGTCCTCAACTTACTTTTAGTTGTTGCTTGGAGTTGACTGTGAGTCCATTGGCTTGCTACTGAAATCACTGTAAAACAGCCAATGGAAAAGACCACTTGTCCCAGTGTCATATTTCTGGCAGTGGCCAAAATGGATCTCTCAGGAAGAGTAAACGAATGGGAAGATCAGTTCAGTTGAAAGGGATCCTAAAAGCTCATCCAGTCCAACTTATGAGAGAATGAGCAGTTTACTATGGGATTATTGAGGTTCCAGTGCTTGGTTTTCCTATCAGGTTACATGAAATGCAGGTACTAATTTATTGAAAATGTATTATTATTTTTTTAAAAATTCAAGTAAAATAATTATCTGAGTTAAATATTTACTTCCTGCTTCCATTCTGTGTTTCAGACAGTGGGACAAGAATGCTTATGATGGGAGAACATACTGTTGTTTTACTGAAATCAAATTTGATTTATGTAGGAGATTACAAATATAAGCAACTGCTTATATATTATAATGCTTATGTATTATAATGCTTATATATTATAATCTATGCTTCTACTAAATACTAAGCAGTAGAATTCTTTTCTACTTCTGCTGGTAAAATTTATGTTTTCACTTCTTAAAACTGTGAGCACTAAGTCACCTACAGTAGTCTGCGCTCACTTTAACCTTAGCTGATATTCTAAGAAGAAAACTGATAAATCTGGGGATGAAGGAAGCAAAAACACTCTCTAAAATGATCTGTTAGAAGCATTTCTATTAACTTGTAAAATAGGTTTTCTGCAGGTTATTTAATACCATATGGGATGCTTTAGGATTATGTGCTAGTAGGCATGACATCTCTTGGATGATGATTTTTTTTTGTCTGTGTAGTTGCTGATCATTCTCACAATCTTCCTTTTCCCTTGTAGTAATTTTGCTCTTTACAGCACCATAGTTCTTAACATTAATATTTCTGATCACCTGGCAGAGCTGTTTAGATGTTGATAGGGATAAGCACATGCTGTGTTGTCTTTTTATTTGTCTTTCACATTTGTCTTTTATTTTGTCTTTCACAAATCTAAATGATAGTATGGCTATGTTAGTACAGAACCTTCATCAATCTGGTCTTTGTCTGGAATCTTTTAGAGAGAAATTTTATTGATTCTGCTTCTGTGTTATATGAGCATTATAGAGTTGATCTATTATGAGGGCCTGTGGAACAAGAGTTACTGTTTTGTGGAATAG